CCAAGGAGCCCCCAAAGCATGCGCCCCTCAAGTCCAAGGAGCCCCCAAAGCATGCGCCCCTCAGGCCCCCGTCATCTGCCCAGGCCGGCGAGGAGCCGTGAGGCGGCAAGGGCCCCCCTGGCATCTCCCAGAGGTGCCCTCTTGCGGCCTCATTGCCTTGGACGTGTCGCTTCTGCCACCAGGTGAAACCCAAGCTGGAGGCGGCGACGAACCGGACGTTTGCCAAATACGAGGCCATTTTGTACCGTCAGCAGGTGATGGCCGGGATGAACTACTTTGTCAAGGTCAGTGGCTGAACCCCTGGATCCACCACCACCCCAGTCCCAAGCAGGGGAGGGGGGAATCCAGCCTCTTAAGGACCATCCAGGAGTTTTTTTTGGCATCTGCTTCTCTCTCCCTCCTTCACAACGTCTGCGGTCGAGAGATGCTTCACCACACCAGTGGTTGACGGGGCCCCTGCCTACCCGGTTTAGTTTTAATTTCTGCTCCTCTTCCCTAAATTCTGAGGCAGGACCCATTCTGCCACCCCGCCCCACTGGGTCACTCGGGGATTCAGTGCCACCTCAGCCACTCAGACAGCCGCAGCCGTGGGCTCTTCCGGACTGTCCTGGAGGGCCTCCTGGACCTGCCGGAGGGGGAGACCTTCCTCCAGGCCATCCTCTCCTCCCAGCAGCCCCCCCCCTCATTTGCAAAAGCCTCTGGCTTGGAAGGAACACCTGAAGAGGTGTGAGGAGGAGGAGGAGGAGGAGGAGGGTCTTCTGGTTTGGGTTTTAGCCAAACGGGCAAGTGTGAGCCCCCTGACCCAACTCTACCAGCTGGGCTAGGAAAGGCCTTTTCTGGACCTCGGGCGCCAATGAGATCTTCAGCCAGCATTAAAAAGGATGGGAGGGGTCTTCCCCCTTAGGGGGCATCTGGCTGCAGAAGATGCCCTGACCTCTGGCGGCTCAGTAGGAGCCAGAATTCGTTTTTGAACTCTCACAAGAAGTAGCCGTAGACGCCCCGTTGGGGATGTGGCTGCTGGACCCCGATGCCTGATGCCCAGGTCCCTCTGCTCCCCCCTCACAGATGCAATGCGGCGACAAAGAGAAAGACTACATCCATCTGAGGATCTTCGAGGCCCTGCCAGTCCATGGCGGACAGGTTAAGCTCTCCAGCTTCCAGGTGGACAAGACCAAGGATGACCCCATCTTCTAGACGCAGCCTAGAAGTCTCTTCTCCCAGCCGTGTAAGCTTCCGAGCATAATAAATGCATCTCTCCTAAAATGTCCTTGGATTTTTGATACAAACTCAGCTGGCCGGTATTTACAGTTAGTCCTCAAGTTACAGCAGTTCATTAGTGATCATCTGAAGTTACAACAGCACTGAAAAAAGTGACTCACGACCGGTTTCCACACTCGCGGCCGTTGCAGCCTCCCCAGGGTCACGTGAACAAAATTTGGATGCTTAACAACTGACTCGTATTTATGACGGTCACAGCGTCCTGGGGGAAGGGGGAGTATCACGTGACCCCCTTTTGAGACCTTCCGACAAGCAAAGCCAATGGGGGGAGCCAGATTCACTTAACGACCGTGTTGCTAACTTAACAACCGCAGTGATTCACTTAACGTCCGTGGCAGGAAAGGTCGTCAAAAGGGGCAACATTCGCTTAACAACTGTCTCAACGACAGAAATTTTGGGCTCAGTTGTGGTTGTAAGTCGAGGAGTGCCTGTTCTTAGAAACTCTCTCCAACCACTGCAAAAACACTGGGGGGGGGAAGGCTGGGGGGGCAGGTCAGTGACCCAGAGACCACTGAGGACCCTCCTCCTCCTGGCCCTTCTCTGAAGTGGGAGCTCCGGAGACCCACCTCAGGGGCGGAAGAGGGCAGACAGCCCCTTCTCTGCCCAGGGAAGCCCCCACGGAGCCCGAGGGCCCAGGCCAGGCCACCCTGAAGGGTTAAGCCGGCTCTATCCAGGTTTCCAAAGCTGAATTTGGCTTGCCGACATGCTCACCTCACTCTGACACGGGATCAGGCGGATGCAGGCAGAAAATGGAACTTAGATACGGGAAAGAGGGAAATTGTGGTTTGCAAGTCACGTTCAGGAACAATGAATCCTCATGTATGAAAGCGACAAGCTGCTGATTAAGAAGTAAAAAATGCTACCAGGGGGTTCAATAACCCTTTATAATAGGGGTGGGGAACTAGGGCTCCTTTGTGACGTGGGGACT